TCATGGTTTAGCTCGCAGTCTTATGATTTGGCAAGGATGAGGCTTCTTGCAAGAAATTATGATTGCAGCATCGGTGCAATTGATGAAGAATAAAATACTACCTCATTTAGTAAGTTAAACGCTCTTTTGTCTTTGAATCTGGGCATGATAAGATGTTAGTAGAATAGTTGTGTCAGTAGTTTGTGCCTTCAGATTCTTTGGCGGAGATTTTATTGACTTTACGTTTCGACGATGCCGTCGTCATCAGAGGTCTGAAAACGGATTGTAGGCTCTTTAACTTGCTCACCACACCTTCAAGGGCCTCCTCTCACTCTGTCAGTCTAGACCTACTCTGAGACTCGCAGCATGAGATCCTCAAGGCCACGAAACGAACGAACCTCGACTCCACAGGCTAGCAACAAGCGCGCACATTTGGTCGTAACGGACGTCACTGAGTGTCACAATGAGCCAAGTACTTTTATGTGCAACACTAAGGGACCCGTCATACTTCGCCGAAAAAAGCCCAAAGAAGCCCAAAAAAGCCCAAAAAAGCCCGAAAAGCCCAAAAAAGCCCAAAAAGCCCGAAAAGCCCAAAAAAGCCCAAAAAGCCCAAAAAAGCCCGAAAAGCCCAAAAAGGCCCAAAAGCGCCACAAAGAGCCGGAACACTTCTCGCACGTTTTGGCGCTAAGGCATGTGTGTTGACCTCGCAATCGAGCTTTTTTGTCATTTTCTGTCGTCCGCATGATAAGATAATGTCGGAATTCTACCAAAAGTTCGTTTCTACATTCCTGCTCTTTCTGGCGCTTTCGGGCTTTTTGGGCTTTTTTGGGCTTTTTCGGGCTTTTTTGGGCTTTTTTGGGCGAAGTGTGACGGGTCCCTAAGCCCACATAATGATATGAATGGTACTACTCAGTACTGATAGACAAGCACCCATTTTTGACATTCATCTTTGGATTTCTGACGGCAATCCATGCGGCTTCAAATAGTTTCCTGGCGCAAATCTCCGTCTCGTATGTCAGTACCTGCCTTTGACTCCGTAATCATTTCCGCAGTGCTCCTCTACCTTGTGCCGTCCCAACCGTGCTATTGGAGTCTCTCGTCTTTAAGGAGATTGTGCAAAGACAGGTGTGGTCTACGAACTAGAATGTCTCAGCTGCCAAGACCGCTATATTGGAGAAACGGGCAGAAGTCTAGGTGTACTCTTGAAAGAACATTTGACGAATAAAAGTGGAGGGACTCCGAGAGCACCGTTGGGACGGCACAAGATAGAGGCGCACTGCGGACACTGCGCACTGCACATGCTGACATACGAGACTGAGATTTGCGCCAGGAAACTATTTGAAGCAGCATGGATTACCGTCAGAAATCCAAAGATGAATGTCAAAAATGAGTGCTTGTCTATCGGTACTGACTAGTACCATTCATATCATTATGTGAGCTTGGTGTTGCACATAAAAGTACTTGGCTCATTGGGTGACACTCAGTGACGTCCGTTACGACCAAATGTGCGCGCTTGTTGATAGCCTGTGGAGTTGGAGTGTTCGTTTCGTGGTCTTGAGGATCTCATGCTGCGAGTCTTAGGGTGCCTTCACACCGCGCCGGCGATTCGTGGGTGGGTTCTTCCAACTTTGACAATGGCTCACATTCACTTCAGACAAGACAGATAGCAAAAGTGAAATTTGAGCACCGATAGGATGTGCGGCAGCAGAACAGTGATCACAAATGCAATATGTAATATCGAACTACACACTAGCGGTAACAGAAGAAAAGGCGTGGAAAATGAAAATCGTAGGCAGGAGCAATCAAAGTAGTAAGATTCTTATGATTCTGATGACTTTGCGCCTCTATAACAATAGCGGCCAGCGGCGGCTACGGGCTGCTATGGGCTGCTGGCAGCTGCTACGGGCTGCTGGCGGCTGCTGGCGGCTGCTACGGGCTGCTAGCGGCGGCTGCCGGCGCGGTATGAAGGCACCCTTAGGCCCCGGCCAGACTTCACGCGACTTAATCGTCGCGACTGAATCGCCAAGATTTCCATTCATTTTCATTTTACATTCAAAAATTTTGGTCTGGGAAAGTATCACAACCGAATGCAAGTTGATCGGCATGGAATGTTGTTGTAACAGTTGTCTCGTCGCGATTCAGTCGCGACGATCAAATCGCCTGAAGTCTGCCCGGGGCCTTAGACTACGTCTAGACTGACAGAGTGGAAGGAGGAGCTTGAAGGTATGGTGAGTAAGTCAGAGAACCTAAAATCCGTTTTCAGACCTCTGATGACGACGACATTGTCGAAACCTAAGGTCATTGAAATCTCCACCACAGAATCTGAAGGCACAAACTATGTACAGACACAAATATTTGATACCATCGAAATTCGATGGATTTACACCGGTTACAAGGGTCTTCGCAAAAAAAAAAACAAGATTCGAAGCATGGAATGGTAATTACAAGCAATTTAGATCGTATCTTATCCAGCTTTCGCTTCTTCGCAGCAGCTGATTCAGTCTCTGGAGCCCTTCTCCCATAAACATTCAAAGAATTATCGATGTCAATAGTGGTTGACAACTATTGAAGTTCCTACCAGGGCCCGGCGCGGGTGGCGCTTTCACAAGTTGGATATCGTTTTTGGCCCGAAAAAGCAAAGGGGAAGTCGTATTTTGGGGTCCGGGGCGGAGTCCCGGACCCCAAAATACGACTTCCCCTTTGTTTACCGATAAACAATGCACATATCATTCTTTATTCATCATTCCTTGTTGATGCTACTGTCCTATGAACTTAGATTCCAGCAATGTGAAGATTCTGTGCTCCGATCGCTAGCCTGCTAGCAGGGGGGGGGGAATTCAAATCGCAATTCTTGTTTCTTGTAAGAGGAAAATAACAAAATAGGCTCGTTTTCAATGCACAAGTAACGATATGGCACCAAATTTGCTGTGTATTTGGAGGACCATAAGCACAAAAAAAATCTGAAGAATTATGAGAAACTTATGTGAATTTAAAAAATGGTAAGTGTTTTTCGAAATTAGGTGGCTCCCGCGCCACCTGGGAGCCACCTGGGGTGGCTCCCTGCTTCCCTTCACATAATTTCCCGGATTTCTTTACATAAATGTGGACTAGGTCGAGAGCATTACTATAGGTTCAAATCCGCTTCCAAAACCACCAAGGCACCGCTTCGATACAGCCCCAAATAGGGTTCACAGCGTTATGATCGGCCTCGGAAAGCGCGCTCCAATCGCAATCGGTTATTGTAAATTGTAAAGTTTGGCAGCTGACTAATAAATGAGTAGTATCTTAGATATATAAACGTCAAAGTTTGTGCAAATCTTACCCTAGTTTTTTTTATAGATTCCTTTGCCGATAAACCCATTGAGCTGAAACCTTGATGACCCGGGCTGGACCAGGAAAGCCAGGTAGTACTACTATAATAAGCGCTGAGGCCGCCCAACTTATTATTTGTGTATATCTGTTTGTAGGGACTTACGGGGTCAAAAATAGGGTCAAAGGGGAAGTCGCAAGAAGTTTTGGCTTCAAAGGGGATATCGTTTTCAGAATTCTGAAATACCACCTCCTGCCGGGCTCTGGTTCCTACTTCTATTCCTTTCTATAAAATAAAGTAAACAGCCCAAAATCTGGTTTGTTGGCGCGGCAATATCTGAATGCTAAAGAATCTTGGTAATATTTCCGACGGCCTCCCGAAATTTCGTAATGTTAGGTCGTTCCGAAAGTAATGTCGCTTTTTTCAAATGAACGCCACATTTCATGGAATCAAGATTTTTGAGAGGTCTTAGAAGCTTTCGATGCAACATTTCATCCTCTTTCTAACGGTTACAATTGCATTGCATAACATCCAATGATCTCTCGAAAAATTACCAAAATTTGCGATTCATGCTTTTTGCCATATTCAAGTTCGACTATTTTTCTAAATTTTTGTACCAATTCTCCGAAGAAGTACAAGTGACGGGTAGATAGGGCAAACCCTACAGGACACAAAATAATTTTTTTCTTTTCCTTAGCTTGCTTCTTAGAGTTTCTGGAACCAATTTTTCAATGCCATCAAATTCCATATTTGATCAACTTAAACCTCACAGAACAACAACCGGCAAGCAACTCGTGTGTCATTCGACGCAGCTTTTTCTCCTCTTTTTACCTCTTGTTTTTTGTTTCTGATTCATCAAGTTTTCCGGGATAAAATTATCTTGATTCAGGTTTTCCAGGGCGCCCCAGGCTGTATCCGAAATTTTCGAAAGTTTCTAATCTGAAGCGGTGAATGCTCATTTGGTTTGTGAAAATTAGTGTCAAACCATAATCCATCTTTGTTAGTTCCAAAATCCGAGAACTGATTGGTGTTTGATGCATTTGTGTCTTAGACGAGTCCGCTAAAATTCGGTGGTTCCATCAAAAAATCTATACAAAGAGGATGACGAGATTCAAAAAAAAAGAAAAAAGTTGTGCTTTTTCCTGTAGGGTTTGCTCTATCCATCCATTACTTGGACTCCTTCCGAGGGTTGTTATAAAATTTTAGAAAAATTGTGAAATTTGGCCATCTCAAAAAGCATAGCTCGCAGATTTTGACTCTTTTCTGGAAGCTCATTGATTGTATTGCAACAGCTTCATAACCGTTAGAAAGAGAATGAAATGCTGCATCAAATGCTGCCGGAACCTCTTACACATCTTTATTCCACGAGATGTGGCGTACGTTTGAAAAAAGCGACATTACTTTCGGAACGACCTAATATATAATATTAGGTACAAAATCTCCACATGTCGGGGTTCTTTCCAGTGCTAGTTAGGGTGGCAGTTGTTGACAAGTTGCAGTAGTATTTTCTTTTGGGAAAATTATGATCTTTTGAATTCCAAAAGCTTTGTCGCGTTTTTGGCCATATTTTTGGCCCCGGGAACCTTACGTGAGATAATCCGATGAAAACTCTCAAATGAAGTCAGATTAGACTTTCCTCACTTCGCAAGCGCATTATGGCATGGAAGAAGGACAACTTTTCTCTTAATGTTTATTAACCATTTTTGGCTTAGCAACGACAATCAAATCTCCTTCTTTAGCAGCTTTTCTCGCACTTCTCATTCACATCTGTAAAGGCGATGTCATAATCCGCATTAAACACGACTATGGGATTTGCTCATGGTTTATTACTACATCTAAGGATCACAAGTTTTCAATTCTAGATCAGCAGTTCTAGATCAGTGGCTACAAATTTCATATAGAACTAACGGTCGCTAAGCTCGTCATCATCAACGAACCCGCTACTTGCACGGTCACCTTGAGCGTCCTCCAAAAGTCGCTTCTGAAGTTCAGAAAAGGGGACTTAGTTGGAAACAAAGCCCCGGGACTGTCTTGCGACTCACCTTCTCCTCATCAGAGTATTCCTCACTTTTTTGAGTGTCAGAATCTTCTTCCGTGACTTGCATCATTGATGCGCAAGCGATCGCATTTAGGAACACGAGCAGCCTAGAAAATGAAATATTCTAGGGTCCTGAAGGGTACTACGTAATTTTACCTCAGATAAGCATAGATTGATGGCATAGTGAAAGGATGATGCCCGTAGCCATTTTCTCCACACTGTGACGACTGCAAATACAATACATACAGAATGCGTAGAAATCCATGAAATAGTAGATTTGACAGTACATAGTGTTCCTGCGTCGCCAACAACATTTGCGCGTAAACAGCGGCAAGATGCGCTCCATGGTTCATTTTCACGAACAAATTGCATAACTTCACAATTTTACGCGCAAATGTTGTCATCACCGCTAGGACGACACTATGTTGACCGTTCAGAGAGGACAGAATAAGCTACCTGGTAGGTTTTGAGTTTGGTGGATCCAAAACGAGTTGCCGCGAATGCTTGAGCAGAATAAATTTGCTCACTGCGCTCTACCTGCATACATGAAGTTTTTGGCTTTACTTTAGATAATGGTAAAGTCCTCACCTCAAAATTTGGTTTGGCTACAGCTCTTTCATCACGTTCGCTCCCTTTTGGATAGGCGAACTCAACTCGAAAGCAAGGACGACGCCGAGCATCAGTAGTTTTGCATGTAGAGCGACGGCCATTACGACGATGTGTGTCTGCATAAATTTTACTTTGCTTTTGATTCTTTGGACTAGGACAACTTACCGTTTCCAGCACCAGGCGCGGGATAGATGCATTTCACGGTCCCACTATCAGCATTTACTGCATGCACGGAACCTTCTCGAAGTTCAAGCAGGAGGTTAGCGGGAAGCAATTCACTCAGTTCATCAAGCGAGATGAAAGCACAAGATGCTGCCTGAAAGGAACCAAGATAAAATATTGATAAATACCGCTCTAGAAGGAAACTCTGCCAATGCTTGTTTGCGATGTTGCGAGAGCACAAAAGCTACGATACACACTTTGCCGACATTTCTTATTGCGAAACTGCTGCTACGCAAGCAATCTACTACCTCTTCAATAAGATTGTCCTTGTTTTCGTCCATATTTACCATGAGCGAATACGACTTGACAGGCTCAGCTCTGATGTAAATTCTGCTCACCAGTCCATTCGCCACAGCTTCGGCAAACGAATCAACTCTGCTGAAACAAAACACTAATTAAAAATATCATACATCTATATTGATTGCGAGTGTATCAAAATGGGGCGATATGTATCTCGCACCAGGCTTTTCGATATGCTCCAAAAATGCATTTGTCCTTATAAGGGGCCGGGCACAGATCGTGCGATTTCATCGCCTCGCGATTCTATCCCCAGGGTAAAGGGCCGGGTATATTTTACGTGATCTCATTTGCGATGCGATTTGGCAATTTGCCAGAAGTCTTCAGGTCCAGACTAGCAAACTGGACCTGCATAGTGTGTATAACTTATGTGCATTGATAAAATGCCCTCTTCTGTACATTCAAAATGTCAAATTGCCAAATCGCGTCGCGACTGAAATCGCGTGAAGTATGCGCGGCCCTTAACTGTTACAAGTTCACTGCATGCTGAACATCTTGCGTATCAATTGCGAAAATTTCGGGATTACTCGCGTCGGAAAACTATCAGGAACGAAATGCAAGATGATCGACATGCAATAACTTCGTAACAGTTGTCTTGGTCGGGAGAATCGCGAGACGATGAAATCGCGTCATGTATGCTCGGCTCCTAGCTAGATTTTCCTAGGTACTGTATCCAATTTTCTAGACGCTGTTTCTCATGGAAAAAAAGCACCTTAGGATAGCAGCTTTGATGCTAAAGGGGTAAAGCCTCCAATGTTCTCGATTGGAGCTCCCACCAAAAAAAAACAAGGGAATTATCACCCAGCTGCCGCATTTCGTCTTGTCACAGCTTGGTTTTGTGAGCGATTATGCAATTGATGCGGTAGCACGAGTTTTGACATTTTAAATCCTCACTCAGCTTAGCATCTTACAATTAGTGTAGTCGACGAAACCAAATATCATGCTTGTTAGCATGAGAATGAAAATTCTCTGTCTTTGCAGCCTTCCGTAGCTTGCAGAGCACTCACAATGAAGGATGTACATGACCGCTTTGGTCACCTTCTTTGATGGAATGATTTGCGTCGCCTGCATCAAGTATCAGAACATCAGGAAAACCTATCACTAACAAGTGAGTTTCATTCTTTGTGAAGTGAGAGAAAGGAGCAGTAGGCTCTTAACAGTTTGATGAAGGTCGAAAAGTTTGGTAGGTTTTCGAAATACGTATTAATCGGCTGCCAAAGAAATACGAAAGAAGTTCAGACTCATTTTGTTCATTTATTTCAACAGGTTAGTCTAGTCCTTATTGAGATACTGTGAAGCAGAGATGAAATCTAATCTGGCGGTTTGGTAAAGACGACTGCCGAAAAGAGCAACTTTCGACATACAGCCCGAAAATTCTAGATACTCAACGATTTAGATCCCCTAGATCAGTTCAGTTATGCGGGCAGAGAAACAAACTGTAATGGATCTGCAATTTTATTGCGCTCGATCCTTTCCATCAAGTGAGATTGCATTTCATTCATTTAAGGTAAAAATCTATGCAAGGGGAACTAACCTCCTTGGAATTTTTCCGTATAGGAACGAAGCAATAAAACAGACAGTTTCTTCAATTTCTATGAACATCTGAAAACAAGTAGCAGTAATAATTGCAGGCCAATTTGCTCGTTAAAGCAGTTGACAAGGGTAGCGATCGCTTCCTTGGTTTCAGCCAACGTTATAATGCTTCATGAGGAAGCCTTGGAAGCTAGCTCCTTGAAGTGGGATGGCACGAAGAATCCCACCTTGAACAATGGTGCTATACGGCTAACTTCTATGAAAAAAACTAACAGAATGCTTGAACCTACCGCACTGAGCTTTATATGTAACATGTGTTGAGTGTTTATCGCACTCGCAGAGCAGAGCTTTCATCCTAGTCATTCCTTCAATTCTAAAGTGGTTGTGTGGCTGAAATCTCCAAGAATTTTTATAGATTGTTCGGATTATGCAATCATGTCTTCTTCCCCTGAGTTCGTGACACTTTTTGTTTATCTATTCTACTTATCTACCTATTTCTATTTCAAATTATAGCTTACTAGTTAAGCTATTAGTCCACAACAAAAATTATATTACGGCAGAATGCATGCTGTTCGAAAAAGCCGATATTGCTTTACAAGAGCTAGTCCTTATTTTGGAGAAATTTCGGTACCCTTGGTCTCATCACTTCAAAATTGACGTCTTCTAGGACGCATAAATTGGCGTTTTGCGATTTTGCATTTTCCGCATTTCATCCAAATTCCATCAAAATTATTTTATGAATAGGCGAAGATGACAGTAGCAAGCAAGACTGATATGCTGACATAACTGCGGACACCTATCTATTAACGCCTTAGCCATTGAATAGTTTTTTTATGGCAGATGGCTAATAGAGGAGAGATGGCCTTTTTTCGCTTTTTAGAATTATATAGCATGGAAAATTTTCGAATCGAATGAAAACATCCACATACAGGGTGTCCCAAAAAATGTGAACACTGTTTGATCATTAATAACTCCGTTGCTTTTAAGTCTTTCGCCGAGCTTGAAGCACCATTCTGTAGAGCGAGGTTCATCTTAGATTTGCGGCATGGAGCGAATCACCGATTGCTTTTCATTACTGTAGGATTACGATATGAACTTCTGGCATGTGGATCTATTGTGAAATATGCCATTTGACAAATTTTTTTTCGAAAAATCTGGAAAATCGTGTACTACGGGTTTCGCGCACGCTGATTCCATAACGCACCTTTTTACGAGTGTTTTTAGCTTTTTTGATAGTGTAATCACATTTTTTACAAATGCTGGAAATTCGGTTATTAAGGTTTACCTGGGATAACCTTGAAAGGAAGCGTCACAGTGAAGTGGAAATTTCATATTCGAACTCAGCGGCTTCCATTACCCATGTATAAAAGTTTTTGGCCCGGTTAGTTTTGTTACGAGGCAGAATATGGCTTTCAACGGCTTAAAATCCTTGTCAAAGTTCTTACCGTAATCCTACAGTAATGAAGAGGGATCGACGACTCGCTCCATACTGTAGATCTAAGTTAGGCCTCACTCTATAGAATGGTGCCTCAAGCTCGGCGGAAGACATAAAATCAAGGGAGTTATTAACTATCAAACAGTGTTCACATTTTTTTGGGAGACTCTGTATATTGTAAAATCGCGTTTTATCCTTGATCTATTGGCTAAAACCCGTTACTAAAGTAATATTAATGGATAGAAAAGGCACAAACAATCATTCTATGAGAAAGTAAGACGCTCGGCCTGTCGATTGACGTTAGTTCTGCGAAAACACTTCAGAAGCAACTGAAGATGTTAATGGGGCTTATATCTCATTCAAGTGATTCAAAGTCCATGAATTTTCAAGCTATGCTTGATTGTTTCAGATTTGTCTCCTCGCAGTCCAGTAGAAGTTGTTTGTGCGAAGCTGAACATTCTCATAGAGTCGCCATGGTAGCGTGGTTGCAATCAGAGTTTCATTGTCGCCGAAGTCCTTCATCCGCTTCTCAGCATTCGCAGAGATCTCTCTTGCCAATCATAGTCAACGACAACAACAGAGACATTGTTCGTATGATGCCCTGTATGTCTTGTAGCCTAGATCAAGTTTAACATGGTAAAAATTTCCAAAATTCCTCAATTTTTGCCCTTTCCTCTAATCATTTTTTCATCTGTTTTCATCATCAAACTAGTTATTTAGTTTGCTCCATCATTCCTGCATCGAAAGCTTATTATGTACCTATGTCCAAAGCAAGAATCGCTGCGTATACATTTTACGTTACAATTGAGCTCCTAACTCTTGGGTAAAAAACGGATTGCTATAAATTTTTTCTTCGCTGCGTTTTTATCGTAAAAAACCGTCGGCTTACCATAATTTTTTTGAAGCAAATTTTGAACTGAAAACATCATTGGACTACTACGAATCTGGAGGTTTAGAATTTAGGTTGGATTTTCAAAAGTCTTTTGTTTAACCTATCGCGACGTATCTGTCGCAACAAAACCGTCGCACGGCGCTAAATTCCTTGGCAATAAGTTTCACGGATCTAAAAATACATTTTTGAATTCTTGACAAGTTTCCGACTCAGAAGGATGCATGTTTGAAAATTTTATTATTTTACTCTACATATAATAGATAACATTATCATATAACAAGATTACCAAACTGAACCAAATATTGTAAAAATCATAGCTTCTTGTTCGGACCAGGGCCCGGCACGAGGTGGGCAAATGGGGTTTTCCAAAACGAATTTCCCTTTGATCCCAATAAATTTTACGAATACCTCCTTGAGCCCAAAAATGACGTTTTGTGCTTGTGCGACGAGATTACCGGCCACACTTCGCCTAAAAGCGCTCAAAAGCGCCCAAATTGCTCAAATTCCTCAAATTACTTCTCAGCTGTATCAAGATAGGAAATAGGAAGAAAAATAAGCAAGAAAAATGATTGAGTAATGAGAAAATATCAAAGAAACGCAGTCATAGGAATGAGAGACGCCGTTCCCGCGCGTATCGATTGACTGGGGCGCGCTTTCCATCTTAAAAAGCTAGGCTGCTGATGCGATTTTGGGCTCTAACAAGGACAAGTGGAGGAGTTTTGGAACCAAAATTTCACCATATAGTAAACTTTAGGTGTACAACAGATTTATGTAAAAATTTTGAAAAAATTATGTGAATTGAGAGTTTTGCCGACCTCAGGTGGGAATTAGGTCGGCAAATGCCGACCTAATTTGGAAATTAGTTAAGCACGCTCTTCATTCACATAAGTTTTTCATAATATTTCATACTTTATTACTTAGTCCTACTGCGCATATACACACCGAATCCCGCGCGATTTCGTTACCTCTGCGTTGCAAACGAGCCATTTTTCCATTTCTTTGGTAGCGCAAAATTTTCAGAAAAAAGTTTGCCACAACCTTCAGTCACATAATTTTTCAATGAAACTCTTCAGTTAAGCCCTGAAAGCGCGTGTGTATTTACTTACCAAGTTTCATACCATATCGTTCATCTGCGCGTTTGAACGAGCCGTTTGAATTCACATCTTCATTTACCAGTTTTGCGAAATTCTCGGAAAAAATGCTAATTACTCGTTCCGTTCACATAAGTTTTTCATACCCTATTTTCCGGCGTATAAGCCGCATTGATTTTCGTCGCGCGCGGGCTGTTGCGAGATGATGGCTGCGATGTGCGAAGCCGCGCAAGCAGCCAACTACCACCTATTTTACCTAGTAGCCTGATTGCAACTTACTGCTTTCGCTCTTTCTTGTGGAAGCATTGAAAGCAGCATTAAAACATCAACTTCATCATCAACAGTCATTGAAATCAAATAAACTAGCAGCAGCTTTAACCTCAGTAACATATCTAAAAACAAGAAATACGGTCAACTCCATTGTATCCTTGAGGAAAAAACACAACCCAGCACCCCAAAATCGTCCGAATCTCTGTAAAGAATAAAGAAATATCTGAAAACGTGAACATGCGCAATGAAAAGCAGTCACAAAATGCAGCGAGTTTTCAGTTTGTTAGATCAAAACTTTCTTTTCGAAGGCTCTTTCGCCCCATTGTTCGCTGCGGCGGGTGCGGCTTATATAAGGTGCGGCTTATAAACCGGAAAATAGGGTAATTTTTCATACTGAGTTTCCACTAGCCTCTCTCCGTACGCATACAAAATTTGGTGTCATATCGTTACACATACATTGAGAACTAGTCATGTATGCTGTTACAAATAGCATCGCTTGGGCGACGTCGCGCGTGCGGCAATTGGCGACGGCGCGGTTTGACGCGCGCGAACTCCAGTGTTCGCCTGTTGAGGCACATAACATATCAAGATAAGTAGCGAGCATGAACTACCAATTTTTTTCTGGGGCTCCGCCCCCGGACCCCGCAAAAACGATTTCCCCTTTGCTTTTTGGCCCCAAAACGATTTCCAGCTTGTCATTTGCCGACCTCGTGCCGGGCCCTGGTTCGGACTTTCGATAGGCGAGAGTTCCAATCAGAGTACTTCACAAATCAAAAGCTAAATCAAACCAAAATTTTACCAGACTTTCCAGTTATCTCAATGACCAAACAGTAAGAAAACGGTCCAATTGTTTTCCCTCCCCCAAATTGTGTCTCAGCAATCAATGATTTTTGCATTGAGCAATACCAGAAAACAGATAATTTATTCTCCTCAATAAAAGTTGAAAGACAACGGACAGAGATGGTGATGTCATGCGCTTTCCAAAATTCGATTTGTGAGACAATCTAGTGAAATCAAGCAACTATTACTTTCCAATTAATTTTACTGACGACGCGGTTTTGACAATACTAAGAGTAATTTGACTCAATGCACGCATCCAACCTCTTTCAATGTAAGATATGTAGCTGATTGTTTTTTCAATTTGTGGCAGTTCAATAATCAGCGTCCGAGTACAAAGTAAAAGAAACAAAAATGTATCTAAACAAAAGCGAATACAATGCATACTGGTTTTTTTCCACAATTTCTTGAATTGAAGTAAATCCATTATTTCCGATATCATCCGCCGGTTGTTTACATATGACGGCAACTGTATACGGAGTCACTAAAGCATGCAATAGAAGCACATTTGCGCTTGAGAAGAACGAGCAGCGACAACTTTCTAAGAATTTTTTGTCACTGCAAGGTTTGTGCTGAAAAAATTACAAATCAAAGTTATTTTCAGTGGTTTCGATCTGGTCAGATCCATGCTGTGATTACCTCAAGAGTTATCAAAATAAAGTATAAGTGTGTAATTGGCAGGCAAATTTGCTTATTGTTAGTAAATATTACCTCTTTTGCTTCACTCTAGTTAGAAAACAACGTTCAAAAGACTGTCAATTGCCTATATTCATAAAATTCAAAGGACCT